TACAGCATTTCAATAAAGTGCGCCCTCTGTGGCAAAAAATGTCTTCAAATGTAATAAATTGAGATAACTAATACAGGAACTGCAATATCTGAGTAAAATTAAAATAAACACAGTTATCAAAATTATTAAAGGTAGGGGTAAATTGTCATTCATTCCTACAAAAAAAATTGTGACATCACATATTACATTTTTTTTAGGGAAACTGTTGAATTATTGTATACATGTAGTATAAATTTTCAAAGCCATACATGATTGGGGATGGGGGAATCAGATTAACACACTCGCAGGGAGGTGCCACATATGGGATATGTTTTATAACCACAGTTAGCATGCTAGTAGATTTAATGGTCTCTATTATAGGTTACGAAGATACGAAAATTATGCACAAAGACAGTACAGCAGGAGTATCGGCCGACTTGCAGCTGAGGTTGATGCGCCGCATATTGTCTGAGTGCATACTTTTTGGTATCCTCATAATAACTTTATTATTATACATCTTTTCCTTCCAAAGATGCATCATGGGAATGCCCAAAATCCAAAACGTTTAGAACATATTAAGCGAACTTCTTTGTATAGAGGCCAGTCATACCCTGGGGTATGCCATATTGTTATTTATTAATATTTATTATTATTACGCGCGTAATCATTCCATATTTGGTATTTGCATTTCCTAATATGGTAGGATGAGAATGAGCCAGTGCAATACAGCAAAATAACGGCATGCTGTAACTTATGACATTACGACGACAGATGTATAATAATAGAGTAGAACAGTATTAATTATAGATTAATTGCTAGCAAAATGTGTCATATTTTTAAAGTGTAATATCTGATTCAGAGTGATTTTAAATTTGCGAAAAAAACACAAATATTTTCATTATTATTTTATGAGAAATATCAAAAGTGGAAAAACATCACATAGAATTGGTTTAAGTGGAAATGTTATCAATTTTCAAAGTGATGCATCATATGTGTTTTTTTCACTGAAATTCTCTAAATATGTTATATTTATCATAAAAATATGATGAAGTTCAAATGGATTTTCAATTTTGTTTTGCAATAAGACAAGGATACATGAAGTTGCCAACAACAAGGTCGAACATTTCAATTTATCTGAGATTTCAGATGGCATGATGACGATATTATATCCAGTATTACGAAAAATAGACCTTGTCAGTCGATATATACGTGGCATTTTCCAGATGTCACTATAGATAAAAACAACAGTTGCTGTGACGACTGGTAAGAGATTACAACATATAAAAAAAAAAACATTTCATTTTAAACTCGTGTTGTTGCCCATTGCAAAATCCACAGCACCTGTTGACAAATCACTAATCCCTTCTTTGTAATTCATCAGAGATTTGTGATGTGACAAGGAATCATTATATTTTGATAAAAGCTATTCACCAGCTGCTACTGAATTTACATGTATGGGAATGAAAAGCAATAATGGTGAGACAATATCCTCAATCCGGCTCAAAGACGAGAATATATTTGGAAAAAAAAAAAATTTTTGAACAGAATCATTTAAAACTGAAACTGATACATCACTCTAAAATCATTTGAATTACTGTAAAATACTTTATTCTCGCTTGGAATTAATTTTCGCTATTTTCGCTGAAGGAATGATTCAGTGAAAATAAAATCCACACAAAACACCCAAAAAGTCTTTTCAGCGAAAATTAATTCCAGCTAAAATAAAGTTTTTCACAGTAGAAAGTGATCACATCATAATTGGTTTTAAATTAGGGGTAACCCATTTGAAATCTGGTCGGGGCTGGAAGATTTGAAAAAAAGAATATGGGCTGCCAGTGAAATCAGAAAAAAATCCACAGGCTCAATAGTAAAATTAGATGAAAATAATTGCTCTCTCAACAGAAGTTTTAAAAGCAATCTCTTATTTGGAAAAAAAAAATAATGTTAAAACATGCTGCCACAAAAAAATCTAATTTCCTCCACGGAAATCATATGGGTCACCCCTTATGGCGAGGGAGGGGAAGATGTATAAGAAACGCACTTGTGCGGGGGAAAAATATGGGAAAGCTGTCAAGTGCAGAAAACCTCAAATATTTTTTATCTACCTGCGCTCGCCACATTCCTATAGCAGAGTTCAGATTATTAGTGTACTCATAGTGATGTTCCTCGTAGTGGATAGCGACTGTCTCCTCATCTATGAAAGGCTCCAACTGATCGTATTCGTACGGGAGGTCCGGCAATTCGTACTGGGACACATATTTGTCCATTCCCTCGTATGGCGGTGGCGTTTTACTTTCGGCGATCCATAACACACTTATGAATAGGAAAATAAGCGATTTCATTGTGAAAACAATTTGCGATCCCATCACACTTTCCAATCGCGTCCAGTCGATCCAAGTCGTCTGATCGCTCTGAATGAAATTGCATGCTTATTACGTGGGCCAGTTTTGACCTAGGTCAACTCCAGCAATGGCCAATCAGAATCGTTTTAGGAGAATGTCGCACAGCCAGTAAGGAGAATGTTTGGTTGTGTATAGTAGATACACTGTCGCTACGATAATACGATCGCGCACGTAATGGTATTATAAATACGTTTTTTCGGCTTGTGTGATCTAACTGACAGCTGTGTTGGCGACTGTCTGGGATTGTGTTACTGGTCATGCCTAACAATGAGTAACTGATCGACGAGGGACGATTTCTCGTTACGGTTTCGATTTGACAGCTTCGAAACCGGGGTCGACACTTTCACATATATTTTTTCTCGCGGCTGCGGCGCGATATCTCCAAATTTTCACCGTTATCCCACCATTATTTTGTCCTTGTTGACGTTTCTTTTTGTGTTCTCCCTTGTCAAGTCACATCGAGAGAACTTTCGCTTTTATGTTTTAATCGACGTCTTTGCCTTGAGTGGTTGCAAGTTACACAAACATGGAGGACGTGTACAAACGTCTTTTACGCGGAAGTATCGACAACGTGCCACAACAAGAGTCGAACATCGTCAGAATTTTCATTAGTTCCACGTTCACAGGTATTGTATATGTATAACTACTTGAAATCCCAACGTTGTGGTACATTATTAACACGAATGCGTTAAATCTTGGAGACATTGGGTGTCTTGAAAGGGGTATTCTAGTTGTATACGGGTATGCGCCCTTTTCACCCCACATTTCCAAGGTCCAGCTGATATTTTTGGACCCCAACTTTAATAGTTTTGGCAAAATAATGTGTCTGACCAGTGACATGATGATTTTATGTTATATACTGCCACTTCAAGAATGGATGAGTTGTTGGCCGGCCGTGATTTCGAATAAAATTGTCGAATTTAAGACAGGTTATTATGCACCGACCACCTGTTGATATCTGGGATGGGCGTGGCTGTATGGCCAACTTAAAAAGTGATGTTTTCAACGGGCAACTATTTATTTATTTATTTATTTA